AGAGGATATCAGCCCTCTGCAGAAATTACCTAGGAGACTGACTGTCTGTGAATATCCCAGATCCAATTAAGGAGACCTGGGTGAAACCTCTGAGGAGCAAATAAGATTGCCATGGCATTTTAACGAAGTAACTGCATTGTCTTCTGCCTGATGGAAAATGCCAGCACAAGAGGGAAGTTCCTCCTTACAATAAGGTGCTGGGTCTCCAGGTGGTGCAGGAAAGTTGGTTACCTGTCCTGAAAAATCAGGGGCCAAGCCACCAGACAGAAGTGTCCCAAAGGGGTGTGGAAGCCTCAGGCTATCTGTCATCCAGCCATTAAGTGCATCCAATGCCCTGGCCCTGTTCTGATTCCCTGCTCAGTGATTACATTCTGAGGGCGCCGGGAGGGATGTGTCCAGGTACCTGGGGACTATGTCTCTGCCGATTAAGGAGTTGCATCCAGTTTCCGTATGCTAGTCTTTGTGCATTCAGTTTGTGGTTGTTGGCCCTGAGATTGGCTTGTCCACGGTGTGCATGGGTTAGTTGAGAACCAGCTGCTGGGCTATGCTGAAGCACCACAATGAAGCCGCCTTCTCTGGGTGATCAGCCTCCTTCCCCAGCTGGCTGTGTCTCCCTCTGACTCTTTTGCATTTGGCATTTGCATGGGTTTCTTAGAGGCAGGGGGCAATAAGTACTTTCTGCATGCTGGACTGATTGACTGATGCATGGGGTGGGAGGGAAACAGGCCAGCCCAGGTGTTTTGTCTCCAGAAGGTATGGGGAGAAGGCTATGCTCCCGAGGTGTGAGGGGAGGAATGAATGAGTAGACGTTAAGGGAACATCAGCCATCAGCCATGTGCCAGGTGCTGGCTGAACACATTTACATTCTTTATCTCTTTTATTCGGCCAGGAGCCCCATGGTGTTTGTTGCAGCACCCATATTACAGATGAGAAACGGAGGTCCAGAGAGGTCCAGCACCTATGCCAGGGTCACATGTTTAGTGAGAGGGGCAGCTCTCCTAACCCTGAATCCCTTCTTGGAGGGGAGGGAGGAAGGACCCCCGAGGGAAGACACATGTGCCTTGTATTAGGAGTGGGTGCATCTGGGTAGAGAGGAGGACAAGGGCATGGAAGCACCCTGAGAGGCTCTGCTCCCTGCGTGCACCCAGCGTATAACTTTGGGAGATAGACTCGGCAGCTAAGGTCCTCGACTGAGAATTAAATGGTAGGAAATGAGCTTCAGGGAAATTCCAGGCTTGATTTTTTTATGAGGTGGAAGCTGGCATGCTGCCCTGCCTGGGAACACCCTGACAGCATGTCCCCTGCCCCCGTGTACTTACAACAGAGATACGCCTCCTTCCCTGATCTAAAAACCAACGAAGATGGCCAGCCCTGGCCACATGCAGAAACCCATTCATGAGGCATGGCGCTGCCTCTCCAACATCTGGACACAGTTTTCCCTGACAAACCCCAGTCCAGCTCTGCCTCCCATGACAACAACTCACTTCCAGCTGTTGCTCAGACACCCAACTTCCTTCCCTTCCTCTCCATGCCACCCTGACTCCTTGGGTGGGGATATATGGCCCCCTGTCTCCCTGAGCATGGACATGTGTGCCCTTTATTCTCTGCAGCCCTGTTCCTGCTCCTCATGTTCTTAGGTTGCCATTCTTTTCTCCAGGAATCACTTAGGGGCAAGAGGTTGGGCAGAAGCCAGCGCCAGCTGTGGCCAGCCTAGGCCATCTCTCCACCACTCTCTGGGGAGGCTCTGCAAAGGAGGCCTTCTAGGGAAACCACACCCTACTTCATCTTTTCTGGTTGATGTTTTTCTTTATCTCCCTTCCTACCAACTTCCCACATAACCCCATTCCACCCCCAAGGAGATAACTATGCCCTAAAGTGCAGCCTTCTTCTCAGCTGGGGAGACTTCTATTGGCAGGAGAACCACAGAGGCTTGGGGGCAGAGAAGGGGCTGGGGAGTGAGGCAGATGGTGAGGGGGCCTGGCTCTCCCTGCCTGGTCCTTGCAAGGCCAGCCTAGAGAGCAGACAGTGTCTTGGAGCCCTGAGACCTTGGGGTGGGCGGGGGTCTCCCTATGTTCTAGCTCAGCTCCTAGCAGCAGGAAACCCACAGAAAAGTGATCTGGGGATTCTACCTTCCCTGGACTTGGGCCTGGGAACCTCCCCCACAGTCCAAGGGTGGCAAGGTGGAAGGTGTTAGAGTGGACGCTACAGAAACAGTACCTGCCCCAGCTCTGCAGCGCCTGGTCCAGGAGAGGCAGGCCCAGGCTCCCCAGTCCCTTTTCTGCCCCCAGACATCTGGTTCTCCTACCAGGAGAAGCTGTACTTCAGGGCAGAGGTATCTTTTGGTATGGGATGGGGGGAAGGGTAGAATGAGGGCATGTTGGCAGTTGGTGGGAAGGGAGATAAAGAAAAACATCAATCAGAAAACATGAAGTGGGGTGTGGCTTCCCTAGGTCTCCAGGGCACAGCCTTCCTGGGGAGTAGTGGCCAGGTGGCCCCAGGCCGGCCACAGCTGGCTTGGCAACCCAGCTCTTTGCCAGCTTCTGGTGATCTTGGGCTTGTTATGTAATCTATTTAAATACACCTTCTTCATATTTAACCCAGGGGTGATAGCAGTAGCTACCTGCTAGAGCTGTCGAGGGCACTAAATGGGATAATACATACGAAGTGCATAGCAGTGTCAAGGGGTCTGCCTCGGACCAAATGCTTAGTAGATACCATTCATTCATCCATTCATTTATTCACTATCTACTCTATCCCAGGCACTGTTCTACGGGAGACAGGCTATAACAGTGCACAAGATGAGCAAAATGTCCTGCCCTTCTGGGGCTGGCATTCCAACCTGGGGTGGAAATTGGGTGAGGAGACAAACAATAAACAGGAGAACTCATGAACAAAAATAGTATGTTAGAAGGTTAAAGTGCTATAGAAAATAGCAAAGTGCAGCAGAGTGAGATTACTATTTTTTTAGAATTTCTATTACTTTGCTCTTATTCATGTCTCCCTCCCTTCTAAGGAAAAGGGAGAGACCTCTTTGCCTCAGGGGCTGCTGCCCCAAGATAGAGTTGCCAGTCCCTCCCAATGTTCTATTTCCCAAGAATGCTGGTGACGAAGTTTTAGCACAAATTCACTCATTTGCACTGTCAACCAGCACCTACTTACAGAACACCTGCTTCTGGAATGCTCAGTGTGAATCAGACATTCTGGTCCTGAAGCATTTTGCATGTGAGGAGAGAGCTATGTGTGAATAACCCAAGCGCAGATGTGATCAGGGCTGCCGAGATGGGCAAGCGGGCGCCGAGGGGAGAGGCAGTCTGTGCCTCTGCATGTGGACCCAGGACCCCCTGCCCAGCCCCTCACTGGATTTGCACTGGGACCAGCTCACCTTTGGTTGTTTTCTTCTAAGTTGATGGACTCTCCCTAACTTAGGGCTGCAGGGAGAGAAAATGACACTGAGTGGGAAGAGATGTTTTCTGAGTTGGCCCTTCAGCGAAACCAAGACCATAGTCCCATTCCCCCTCCCCTGGCAGTGAGGAGGGACACAGTGACCACCTGTCCTGTCGTGTGCCCAGCCTGTGACATGGCCCTGCATGCCCTCCCCTAGTGTGGCCTCAGCTGCCCTTATTTGGAGGCCAGCCTGACTCCCGCAGAACAATGAAGGGGAAAGGGCCCTGGAATCTGTGGCCAGGGCATCTTGAGGCAGCTGCAAGGTTGTGGGGAAAGGCAGCGGCCTGACACCCTAGGGGTGTGGCTTCTTGATTGCAAAGGAAGAGAGGGGGAAGGTTTGGCCACCTGGCTAGGAATCGGAGCCCTGTGGGTCTGACCACAGCCGCAGACACTCTGCCTTGGGGTTTGGAGCTGGGAACAGACGGTTCTCCCCACACAGACACCGCTCACATGGACCAGCCGCCTTGTCTCCCGCGCCAGGCCCCTCAGCTGCTGAGTCATGCTCCCCGGGGTTCACAGAGGCGCCGATTCAAAGCCAGGCTGAGTCATGCGATGATGAATCGTGGAATTCTTGTTCAGGCTGTCACCCCAGCAGTGGTGGGCCCCAATCCCCACACCCCTCCTTCCCCACTAAGCCACTCAAAACATTCTCTCCTCATTTGCTGTTCCATCTCCATCTTGGGGGGCTCTGACAGGGAGTGCGGGAGTATTTCTGAGCTTCCCTCCTATGTCCAGATTCCAGACCTGTTATGCGGACGGGGGCCTAGTCTGTTAGCTCAAGAGGGAAGCTCAGCTTTCTGAAGGAGGAAGGGATGGGCTCTAGACTCAGAGCTGGTTGGAAAGGCAGCTTCAGTCAGAATTGAAATCTACTTAGCATGAGCAAGGCTGCCAGGCCTTGGTTTCCTTATCTGTCAGATAACGTTAGGACTCCTACTTTGCAGGGGACAAGGCTCCTGGAAGTCGATGGGTGTGAAGTACGGGCAAGTGAGCACTCAATACCTACTATTTGATCTCCTGTATTAGATTGGGGGTGGTGGGGAGCCAGGGGGCAGAGGCTGTATGAAAATCAAATAAGGATCTAAGGTCCTTCCTCTTGCTCAGGACAGCTCAGAGGGCTGGAGAAGTGTGCTCGAGGGGTTTCAGAGACTAGGTCAGAGGGCCTGGACACCTCCAGGCCTGCAGGGGCCACCATGTGATCATGAGTGCAGCATGCCAAAAGTGCTCACAGGGGCTTGTTTGGTTCCAAACCAGAAAACAAGCAGAGACCAGCAGGGGCACAGCCACCCTGACCAAGACCCTTTGCTTGCCTCCTACAAGGACACCTTCTGGCTGCTCCCAGGTTAGCCTGGAAGGTGCGCACCTCTGCCCAGAGGACCCCTCTTTCTTATGGGCAGGAGTGGTCCCGACCAGGGTGGGACCCCAGATGGCTGTGCCAGTGACCCTGCTCCTGCAATGCCCCCAAGGACACCTTTGGAGCTACTGTGGGGCCATGGTTATCTGGTATCTGGCCCTGGTTGTTGACATTTCCCCATACCCACAAATCATCTGAGAAAAGGTCCAAATTCTCCAAAAGAATTTATTAAGAAACAGAAGAAAGCTATAAAGTACACAGTCAAAGGAATGAAAGAGTTTATAGCACAGATTCTTCAGCCCATGGTAACTAAGATTATTTGCCGGGCCGACAGCATGGGTACTGGGGCCCCGATTCCATTTTCAACCCCATCTCTCTTGGCTGCTGAGCCAATCAGTTCAAACTTTCTCCAGAAATTGGTTGCCTTCCCAAACCTCCTTCCCAGTTGCCTCTTTATTATACAGGCCCTTCTCTACGTGGTCCCAGAGATTCCCCTCCCACCTGGGGCAGCGGGGTTCAGGTGAGGTCCAGCCTGACCTTGCTTTTCCTACTCCACTCCTCCAGGCAAAGGCATCTGTGGTCCCTAGAAGACCTATTTTTGCTGCTGTTCTGATCCATTTAATTAAACTGTAGTCATGAACCAGTTAGGTAGGCTGGTTCTGCCAACTTCAGACAAACTATTCTCCTAAGCTTGTCTCTAAACTCAATCTTTCTCCTGCTTGGAACCTCCCCTTGAGCACTCTGTCCCAGCAAGTCCAAGACTGCTTTCTCCCCAAAACAGACTTCTGCACCTAATTTATTTATGGGATAGCTCTAGTTCTCAGCTGACCTGCCAAGGAGAGATGGTCAAACACCTTGATCTTGGCACCCACCTAGGGAACCCTGCCCAGTTCAAGTCACCAACTTTACGGATTCCCTTGGAAGGTGTCTCTTGGACTAATGCCCCTTTGGAATTTAATCTCTGTAGATTTATTTTATGTCATGGCTTTATAGATACAGTAATAATAAGACTACTGTGAAATGAGAGCTATTCCCTCCCAAATTACGTTTTCTCTAAATTATCAAAAGCCTTTTGTACTTTTCCTAAATGTCTATGGTTTACCAGTCCTTAATTAGTACTGTCTGATTCTCAGCTGGCTTTCAGGAATAGCACTGAGTCTCAGCCAGCTAGCCATTGGTCCCCTCCATTCCTCCAGCCCCCATTCTATCTTAGCTCAACAGTCTCCTGTCAAAGGAGAAACAGGTAACAACTCTACTCAGATGTTCTCGAAGTTTCACCTCAAAATATGTGCACGTAACATCCTCGTTCGAGCCTACACTGACGGATGAGTATTAGGTCAGTACAAGTCAGCTGAATTTTTCCTAACCAATACCACAGATTTGAGCTTTATGGGATACAAAATACTTCTCTACACTTCTCACCTATCCTCCCAACAGCCCTGTGAGGAGGTCATGGTAGATACTATTATTCCCATTTCACTGATATAGAAACTGAGGTTCAGAGAGGTTAGGGAACTAGACCAAGATCACACAGCTATTTAACCCCCGTCTCTGCTACCCTCATTCACTTTCCTTTTTCAGGCACAAAGAATATGAAAGAGGCTTTCTACTCCCTTTCTCCCTACGTTAACGTCATGCTCCTTTCACCAGTGCATGCACAACCCGGAAAAGCTCCAAACAGGAAAATGAACGATTGCTCAATTGATTGTCACAGTCCAATGTGGGGCTGGGTGGGGGTTTCGTATCTTTCACGATGTTCCTAATTTCTTAACATCTCTAATTTAACCAAGAACTCTTTCTCTCAGGGCTGAGTGGTGTTTTTTTGTGGGATTCTCTAGGATTCCCAGGTCACAGTTAAGGTACTGGGGATTTTATCTCCAAATTTTGCTCAGTTCTGTACTTCTCAGCCATTTCACATTTTGCCAGGGCTTAGTACCTTCCCAATTTTACCCCTGAATCAGGGAAATTTGGTATTTCTGTCAATCTGCTAGTGCCTGGCCTCCAAGGATTCTAACACCTTCCTGGAAAGCCATGTGGCTCCTCATTTCTGGAGCATCTGTGGATCCCCCTCTTCCAGCCAGGTGACATTCCCCTTGGGTGAGCCGTTTGGCTGGACCACTTCCCCAGCCAGGCCCTCCGCCTGTGATCCCATGCAGCCCTGCAGAACTGTTATTCTAAGCCGAAAGTATATGACCCCTTAGAGCCAATGACCCCCAAGGCCCCCCTCCACACACATATGCAGGACACCCCCATCTCATCTCCTTTGTGACTCGCCCGGGTCCACTTCTTGGGGAGGCCTATGTTGGACCATGTCCAGCGTCCCCCTACTGGGAAGTTCCCAAAGCCAAAGTTTTGAACATGGTTGGCTGCAGCTATGACACTGGAGGTGAGTTATCTCTGGAAAGAGTCTTACAATTGTCCCCTTCCTTTTCCAGATATAAAGTCATTTCACAGACATTTACTGAGCACATGCTATGAGCCATCACTGTGCTAACTGCAGATAAAAGTGCAAAAAAAGACACCCCTCCCTCCCACCACCTATGCAATTCATCCTTTACTTCTGGTTTTCATAATGGTTCCAGTTGGTCTAAATTAGTTGGGGGACTCAGCACCTTCCCCTGACTTCTGGACACTCCACAATGATTCTATCTGCTCGGGGGACCGCCTGACCTCTGCCCACCTTCCCGAGGCAGTCTCTGGCCAGTTTCCAGTCCTTGCCCCGACTGCCCTCCCTCCCTGCCTGATGTCCAGCTGGGTCCCTCCTCCTGACTCCTGCCCCTCCTCCAACAGGACAGTCCCACTTGCTCTGACAGACACATTTCCCCACAAATCTAGTAGCTATTCTTGAATATTATTTCTAGAGGTGTATTTTCCGAAGTAAATATTCAGGCATATATGTTACTTAATGGACCATAACAACGGAAGGAGCAGTATGCATATATGAATAACCAGCGTGAAATAACTCAGAAAGAACCCAATCATCTCCCAAATCACTATTTACAAATTGTGAACCTATTTCTCCTCGGGAACTCTGCAGAGTACTTTTTCCCTTGTTCTATCATTATGTGATAATAGTTCCAAATTCTTTTTTTTTTTTGCTAGTGATTGCACCACATAACATCACATTCTTGTAAATAGTTTACATAGTTGTCATATCTGAAGGCAGTAGCTCCTTGTTCTAATAAGACCACAATCTGCTTAGCTGTCCCCCACAGCTGAACAGCTTCCAATGACTGATATATCGGGTGGCCACAAATATCTCTGTACGCATTCTTCCTTTCGGATTATTTTTCCCCCAAGAATGTATTCCCCAAAGTGAAATAATTTAGTCTTTATAGTCATTTTTTTCTTTACTCCTGTCAAATATTGCCAAATTCCTCTCCAGAAAGCCTCATTTTATAGTGCCAGGAGCCTCATTCTCCACAACATATTTTTTAAATATATTTTAACCAGTGCAACTGGTTGACTTGATTTCACTTTTCAGTTTACCAGCCCTGGCCACGTGCTTTCCCCTCAAATGCACAGCCTCTTTGGCCTTTTGCCCAAGCAGGTCGCTCACTCGCAGTATATACTGGAGACTCAGCTCTCACTCTGATCAATTCCTCATAGCATTTCTTCATCCTACTGGTTTTCCTTGCATCTTCATTATGCTTTGCTCTGCTTACATTTCACATTTTTGTGTAACTGAGTTTGTCCACTTGGCGTTGATGATTTCCCCTATCACTTCAATAAACAAGTAAAGTGATCCCCCAGAAAAGGATCTTCTTTTCCCCACCTCTAATACCCTGTACTTTCCATCTGGACTTGTCTAAACTCCTTCTGGTTGCCATGAACACGCTACTGCCCATGATCCCTCCATTAGGATCAGCTCCTGGCTAATCATGTGCACCTTGGTTCCACCATTGCCACAGCATATCCAAAGGACCAGTGGTCATAGCTCACCTTCCTCTGGTTTCGACTACTACACCCATCCCAGCCCAACTGCCAACTTCTCAGGTTTTCAAGCTGGTGGGGCCCCCAACCCCACCCCTGGCCTCTAGGGTTAAGCTGTTTTCCCAGCAATGACGGCCTGCTGAAAGACAAATTCCTCCACTCCTTAGTTCAGCTGAGTGAGGCCAAAATTTCTCAGAAGGAATTGTGTTGGAAAACTAAGGAGGAACTTAAATAGATTCCAAGGAGTTTAAAGACATCAAATAGAAAAGACTTAATATCCTACATAGATCTTGCCTCAGTTCGGCATGGCACTTGGGGGGACCCAGGAGGCTCCCTATCTCTCACACTCAGAACCCTGTGTTTTAGGCTCCAGCCCTGCAGGATTATCTTCTGGGAGCACATTCTCAGCGAGGACTTTGAGGTAAACACCTCTTGACCTCAGCTGGCATCTGTACCTGGTCCCCAAGAAGCCCACCCTGTACTCCACTGGGGTCACTATTATCAGAGGAGCCTCTACTTCCCGCTGTGGCTGATGGAAGATGCCATTTATTGCTGTTGGGAAACCCCAGTCCTTTTGGACATGGCATGCCCGTTCCGGTGTGGGGGGAGCTGGGGTCTCAGCTCTTCTCCAGAAGGTACATGCCTGACATACCCAGAGCCCATGTTGGCTTACAGGACTCCTTCCTTCTGCCAAGACTCTAGCTAGGCTACTCCATCAGGAATGGTTTTGAAGAACGCAAATTGGGACACGCTTACCAATCTCAGAAACCTGAACTGTGTGGCAGTGATAGCAATCACCCCCAGGAAGCAAGAGGCATGGTTAACTCCCAGTATCCCTCTTGCCCCTCCCGCTCTGAAAGCTATGGTCATGCCACCACCCTTGGTCCCCATCTCTGCACACCCGAAGAGGGGTTAGCAGTTTGGCATTTCACATCAAAAGGTGGCCAACCCCTCTGGGAAAAATGCCCTCAACCCCCACATCCTATAGCAGTCCTGCCTCCCTCCCCCGAGTCCCTCCCCAGTGCCTCCCCACCCTCCACAGTCCTAGCCCTTTAACTGTCAGGAGAGCGGACCCGAAAGACATGGATGGTCCCATTACTGAGGGACACAACCAGGTACCTGCCATCCACCATGGTGGTCACCCGGGGCTTTTCCAGGCCATGATAGGCTGTCAGGAAATCACCGAGCAGTGACCCCTCCGGATCCAGGATCACCACCTTGTTGACCTCTCGGAGGGTCAGAAAGATGTAGCCCTTCTTATCCACAGACACGGAGCCTGGCTGGCAGCCATGCAGGCCCGGCCCTCGGTACTCCCCAATCACCTGACCCAGCCCATCACAGACAACCACGCTATTCTGCTGCCAATCTGACCCCACAAAATTGCCCTGGGGACTGGTGGTCAGGAACACCAGTGCCCGCAGGCCCCGGCTGGCCTTGCCCCCAGGAATAAACCGGGTGGCCAGGCTGCCTTCCATGTTGTACACCTCCACATGGCCTGACACGCTGACAGCCACCCGGTCCCCACTTGGCATTGCAGCCACAGCATGGCTGGCCTGGGAGAGACTCAGGGCCCGGCGCCACTGCACCTCACCATCAGGGCTGATGAGATGGAGCCGCGCCCCGGCCGAAAAGGCCACAGCGCCCCGCAGGGCAGCCACACTGCATGGGGAGCAGCCCTCAGGGACAGGCACCGCGCCCTTGTAGTCACCATTGAGGGAGAAACGCTTCAGTGCCCTGTTCTGCTCATCTGCCACCAGGATCTCCCGGGGGCCAAAGGGACAGAGCCCAGTGATGCGGGGTGAGCGCTTGTCTCCGGGCATCCGCGTGGGGAAGCTGCAGGAAAAGATGGGCCTGGGGAGGAGGCCGGAGCCCTCCAGGTTCAGCCCGGGCACTGGGCTGGGCTCCCGGGAAACTGACTTGAGTCTGCCTTTGAACTTCCTTTTCTTGTTGGATCTGCCAGCCCTTGGGGTCTGGGCTCCTCCATCTTCTTGGGGCGTCTGGGCTCTATCTTCCTGGGGTGACTTGGGTCTCTCGCCCTTTGGGGCTCCATCTTCCTGAGGTGTCTGGGCTCTGTCTGACTTTGGGGTCTGGGCCCCATCCCTACCCTGGGGCTGGGCTCCATCCTGTCTCCGGCTCGGGGTTTCCTCATCTCCCTGGCATCCAGCTCCATCTCTACCACTGTCCTTCTGGGGTTGCTGCTCCTCAAAGGAGAGCTGTAGCAGTTGGCAGTTCTTGTCCAGAAGCCCTGGATGGAGCTCCAGCTGTGGCAGCAGGCAGGGGGGTGGCCCAGGCACCCAGGCACAGCCCTGCAGCTGCTGGAGCCTCTGGGCGATCGCCCCCTCCAGTGAGAGGATCTCGGCCTCACGACCCAGGCTGAGCACCCGACGAGCAAAGGCGACTGCCGCCCTGGCCACCTGCTCCCGGCCCTCCAGCTTCCCCAGCCTCTCCCGAGCAGCCTCCTCGGCAGCCTCCACATGGGCCCGTAGCTGCCCCAGCACCTCCTGCTTCTGGGCCAGGAGGACCCGAAGGACCCTCTCGGCCGCCTCCTCCACCTGCGTCCCCACCCGGGCCGCCTGCTCCCTCAGGCGGGCCAAAGATTTTTTTTCCACCAGCCGGGAGGCTTCCAGCTCTGCCAGGTTGTTGTCCACGCCCTTCAGTAGCTCCTCAAGGCCTGGCCTCCGGGCACGCACGGCCTCAGCCAGGGGCAGGCAGGGGTGGTCCAGGTGGGGGTCCAGGCGGCACTCGCGACACAGCAGCTGGGAGCAGGGCTGGCACAGGAAGCGCAGGGCCTCCCCTGGGTGTTGGGGACACTGGGCCGCCTGGCGCTCCCGGGCCTCCTCGTCATACCACCCTGCCCTGTAGCCCACCAGGTCCACCACTCGGTGGGTGTGGGTCTGCCGCGTGCAGCGGTGCCCATCAGCACAGGCCTTGCACAAATCATCCGCACAGTCCAGGCACCGGGCTGTGGCTGGGCCCCCAGTGCTGGCACCCCCCATCAAGGGGCACAGTGCGCAGGCTGGCTTCCCTGCCTGCAGGTCTCCACCAGCCCGGGCCCTCACCAAATCCAGGAGCCCGTTGACAAAGAAGTTGGTCTTGAAAGCAGCCACGCCTGCTGGTGGAAGGGGCACCGTCTCGCGGCACTCGGGGCATCGCAGGTGGCCACGCTCAGCCAGCTGAGCCAGGCAATCCTGGCAGTAGGTGTGCAGGCAGGGCAATGTTTTGGGCACCCGCAGCTGCTCCAGGCAGATTTTACAGGCCAGGAAATCGCTGCTCAGGGCCTCTAGCAGGGAGGGTGAGGATCCTTGGGAAACCATGCTGCAAGTGGGGGGTCAGGGTCAGAGGGCAGAGGGTACCTCCCCAGTGCCTCCAGCCTGCCCTCCAATCTCTCTCCCCATCCTCAAGCCCTACCGGGTCTGGGTCTCACCTGAATGGCCAGGAATTTTCTTCTGGTTCTAGGGCCTCTGGCCACTTACTCTTGAGATAGCGAGCTGGCCTTGTCCTCACATATATTGAGCAAATGTGAAAGCAGATGGTCCTTGCCTTGCATCAAGTGCTGTGGAAAATGACAAGACCAGGAAGGCCCTGGCCTAAGAGAGTGCACAGCGTAGTGATGACGGCTCCCAGTTGACAAGTGTGGTGTGGGGGTCCTGGGGGCAGAGTGCTGGGGTGGGTGTAAGCTAAGAGGACACAGGACATGGTCTCACTGGGTGGGCAGAGTTACTTGACTCCTGGTAGGTGGGACCCCAGTTCCCCTGGCCCCATACACCTGTCTGCTTCCAGACCCTGAAATCAGCATCACGGGTAGTGGGGGCCCCACTTACTGCCCTGACTTCGAAATGTGTTCTGGAGCTGGCAGAAGGCAGGCTGAGCGGAGGGATGGGGGGCTGCCCTGCTTTCTCCTCCCAGCTGCTCGACCTCGGGGTCACCGCAGCCTCTGCCTCATCTCCTTGAGTCCTTTCCTTTCAGCCTCTCTTCCTGCTTCCCTAGAAGAAACCTCTGAAGAGGAGGACTGTGTGAGGTTCATCTGTGAACCCCCCACCCAAGGCTCCCAGCACAGAAGCTGTGAAATACTTGATGAAGAGGCGTGGGGATTTCCCTCAACTTCTGGAAAGTGGAAGCTGGAAGCAAAGCTCAGAGAGGGGGCCTCTCCCAGGGAAGCCTCAGATCGCCGGCCCCAGGGGGCGGAGGGGGAGGGGTGCTCCTCCCACCCTCTGCTCTCCTCCAGCCTCTTGGGCCCCTCCCTGCCCCCGCGTCCTCCAGCTCAGCAGTCCCTCCAGCTGCCCTCCCGGTGCCCCTCCTTACCTAGCCCGAGCCAACCCTGGGCTCCAGGGTGGAGAGTGGGGCGCCGAGGCCTGGATGCCGCTGTCGCTGAGTGCCTGAAAGAGAACAAAACTGAAACTAATTGTACTGCAGCAACTTCCGTCCCCAGCCCGGGACACCGACTCGCACCGCCTCAGGCCCCGCCTTCTTCCCTACCCGAGCCTGGTCCTCTTCCTCGGGGCCCCCCACCCCTAGCAGGGCTCCGGGGTGCCTGCCTGGAGTGTCAGTTCCAGCCCAGGATTCGCTCAGCCAGCTAAGTGTGTTGCAGACAGTGCCTGAGGACGCGTCCGCAGATGGAGGAAATCAGGGATTATCCGTGATTCAGAGACGTGTAACCAGAGCCCAGTCCTCAGGACAGGTCTCAGGTGATGCCTAGCGATCTGCAAACCCAGTCCTGGGTGGGGCCTTCCGGGCCATAAACCTTTGCTGAGTTATGGGAAAGGCATGGAAACCAGATAAGGGGCCTCAGACCTGAGGAGTCTGCAGGCGCTTCCTGGGGGAGGCATCACCAGAGATGAACCTGAGGAGTACACAGGGTTTTGGGACTTGCTACGTGAGCAGGCCAGGAAGTATGGATCCGCAGGGTGCTGGAATAAAGAACCCAACACCCTTAACGCTGCGTGAATCACACGGTTTATTTTGCACTTCCCTTTCACGCAACACTCAAACAGGACCGCAGCCATCATGGATCAATACATCTCATATGGGTCTTGGCGATGGGTTCGGATCCCAATCAGCGTCTCGTCTTTCTCAAGGGGTGTCGTGCAAGCTTCACCTTCGGGAAGGCAGTGCAGTGGAGGCAGTAAAATGGGGTGACGAATGGGTGACAGAGCACCGGCGCGGGAGCACCCCGGGAGCACACATCTGTGGTCCCGTGTCGGGGACCTCTGGGACAGACTTGCGCCAGGCCCTCTGCGTCCAATCCCTTATATAGTCCAGTCCATCCATCCGGGGGTTGGAGATAAGATGCGACCGCCCACATGTGATGTTATCTGTTTTGGGCGTTCCCCGGCACACCTTTGAAGGTGGGGTGTGTTTACAAAGACAATTGGTGAGAAAGCAGGCAAGCCTGATATAAGCAACTCCATGTTTGATGCTCATATCAACTTGCTGGGGAAGAAGGCAGGGAAAAGCATCCTGGGAATCAGGAACAGCATGTATGGGGGTACAGAGGAATGAGATCCCCCAACTCTCCCCGAGTATGGTTTGTGGGAAGCAGCCACGTGACTGCAGGCAGATGAGATTATAGAGGGAGGCAGGGGCCGGATCATAGAGAGCATTATGTTCTACATGAAGGAGTCTGAGTTTTACTTGAAGCACAAAAAAGTTGAAGATACTGTAATGAACATTCATACGTCTACAGTTAATACTTTACTAAAGTCTATTCATCACGTATATATTCATGTATGTGCCCCTTTATCCAGTGACGGGAATTCAGTAGGAAGCTGAGCCCGTGATCCGTGATAGGCTAATGATGCCCAGACTTGTAACCTTTCCACGCTTTTCCACTGTACCTGAGGTTTTGATGAAGTCACTCAACAGTGTCCAATACAAGAACAGGGCGGAGATGGCACTACGGGGAACAGAACACAGACATTTAAGGTCAAGTGGAGGAGAGGACGGAGTGTGAAGGAGACTGAGAAGTAGTTGCCAGAGAGGTAGGTGGAAATCTTAGAGAGAAAAGGTCACAGGAGCAGAGGCTGGAAATGCTGTACTTCAAGAAGGAGATGGTCAATGCTGGCAAATATTACAGACCAGATGGTCAGCCAAGATAAGAACAGAATGAATCAGTGCATGCATGTATGCAAGTGTGTGTGCACACAAGTGTATGTACCCGCCTGCACTCACACACAGCCTTGTGGGTGTGCTTGTCTGTGCACATTCAAAAATGATTTGTTGAATGCCTACCACAGCCAGACAGCATGCCATGCACTGTGTCATATACAAAGATAAACAAGATTTGTTCCCTGCCCACGGGGAGTTTATAATCTAAGAGAGGAGGCAAGGTCTGTGTAGATTGTAGTCTGAGACAGTAAGACAAATGTCCTATTACAGTGTCAAAAAAATCCTCATGATGGTTCCTTTTATTGGCTATTTACCATGAGCCTGGAGTTTCACCAACATAATCCAATTTAATCGTCACAATAACCCAGTGAGATAGGTACCACTATTGCCTCCATTATAGACGAGGAAACTCAGTTTTAGAAAAGATCTGTGACCCACGGTCACATAAAGTGCTCAGACAACATGGAAAAGGGGGAGTTCGGTCTCTCCTGGGATGGTGGTGGTGGTGGTGTGGGAATCAGGAAGGCTTCATGGAAGAGGCAGCATTATAATGGTCGTCCTACCCGCCTCCCTGGACACTGAACAATTGTTTACAGTGCCTATGGAGTGTGGCTAGGCCCCAAGAACACAAGTTTCTCCACCCTGAGAACAGACTGCTTAGCCAAGTGCTGAATCAACTCTAGCCCAGCACTAAGCTTACCACAGGGACACATGTGAGGAGGGGCGGGGGGTAGTTCTTGCAGATGTTGAGGGAAACTCAAGACGGCTCTTGGAAAGACCTCTCACAGTGGCTGCTGGCCTGATAGCGCTGCAGCGTGGGTGGGTGGAGGGAAGAGGCAGGGGATGCAGATGGGCAGGCAGATCAAACTTTCAAATGTCCTGTTTAGAATTCTATCAGACCCGAAGGTAATGGGGGGGCCATTTCAGAATTTTCATTAGACAAATTTGGACCGTGTTCTGTGGGGGAGTGGGGCAAGCAGAGCTTTTTAATCTTGATTTATATATATAATAAGAAGAATTTACAGCAAAATTTTAAACACTATTGTCAATGTAACAAAATAACTGTTTCCTGTGTATTTCCTTCGACCCCTGACCAACTGAATATACTTTAAATAATTGTGTCTATAGTGTGCATATACATTTTGCCTACTTATGTAACTTTGTTATATCAACATTTTCTATGTTTCTTCATATTCTTCATAATTATTATCATGAATGGCTGCATGAATTATATACCATGATTTAGTTTTTAGTAACCTATTTAGTAATATGCTGGTAAGCCAGCTTCACCGCCTTATCAGTTTCCCGGATATAAATAGGAGGTAAATACTCCCACAGGGGCTGATTTCATGCTACCAGTGATTTAACAACCAGTTGCAAAATTCCCAGAATTTAACAAAGAGCTTTCAGGAGCCAATACTGTTTGGAAGCTTTTAGAATCTTCTGTCCACAGTGTTCTGAATTTCACAGAAAGAGCGTGGTGTTGCGCTCTTAGGCAGCTCTTTGAACCTTGAAGCACATTTCCCTCCATGCCTGGGAAATTCTCCTATTTCCTTGATGATTCTCTCCCCTCCAATTTCTATTTCTCCCTGTGGAAATTGCATCACTCAGGTGCTGGATCTCTTAAGCGGGTCTTCTAATTTTGTCTTTTCTCTTTTCACACTATTTTCTGGGAGATTTCTTCTGACGTAGACCTTCTAACTATTGTGTCTTTCAAACCTGCTGTAACGGTTTTAATTCATGAGTTCCTTTTTTTTTGTATCCTATTTTTACTGCATGGAATCAACATCTATCTTTCTGAGGACCCAAATGTGTTGTGTTTTCTTTGCCTTGTGTAGTTTCTGTATAACCTCCAAGTTGTTTCCTCCTGTCTTCCTCTACAGGTGACTGTAGTATTTATTACATTGTATTTAAAATTAGCTTTCTGCATTATAATTTGCATGTGGTAAAAATCAATTTAAGTGTACAGTTCAATGAGTTTTGACACATGTATATAGTCAAGTAATTATGAACACAATTATATATGTAGTACAAGGTAAAAATAAGGACACTGCCACTGGCACAATGCTATTAACTAGACTACACACCCTCTTCTTATTTCAGTAGTGTTTACCTGTACTTGTGTGTGTTGTATAATTCTGTGCAATTTTATCACAAGTATAGTGTGTGTAACCACCATCAAAATCAAGATACAGAGTGCCTATATCCCTGGGCAGCCACTGACCTGTTCTCCATTTCTGTAATATTGTCATTTCAAGAATGCTTTATAAATGGAATCCTGAAGTATGAAATCTTTGGAGTTCAGCTTTTTTCACTTAGCATCCTTGAGACCCACCCCAGTTGTTGCATTTATATTAATACGTTGTTTCTTTTATTGCTGGGAAATAGTCCACTTCCGGGTATACCACACTTTGTTTATCCATTCTCACACTGGGAGTCATTCAGGTTGTCGCCAGGTTTGATAATTACAAATATGGCTACTATGCACATTTTCATATACTGATTTTTGTGTGAACATCAGTTTTCATTTCTCTGGGATAAGTGCTCAGAAGCACAGCTGTTCAGTTGTACATATGTCTATTTAGTATTATAAGAAGCTGCCAAACTTTTCCAGAGTGGCTGGGCCCTTTTATCTTCCCACCAGGAATATACAAGAGATATAGTTTCTCCACATCATCACCAGCATTTAGTATTGTCGGATTTTTTATTTTAGTTTTTCTAATAGGTATGATACTAATTTACATTTCCCTAGTGGCCAATAATGTTGACCATCTTTTCAGAAGCTGACTGGTCACCCATCCATTCCTAATTTATTGAGAATTTTGTTTTAAATCATGAATGGGTATTGGATTTTGTCAAATGCTTTTTCTGAGTCAATTGAGATAATCATGTTTTTTTTCTTTATTATGATAATTAATTTTTGAAATAAATGCGGTATATTACATTAATATATTTTTAGAGTTTAAGCAATGTTGCGTTCCTGGAATAAACCCCCTTTAGTTATCGTGCATTAACCTGTTTGTATGTGGCTGGCTACTCAAGTGGTCGCTTCCCCAGATATTACTTTCTACTGGGCTCCCTCAGTTTCCCAGAGGAAACCAACATGCAGGTCTCACAGGGTACTTGGCAATACTGAAATCCCAGACAAGTATTATTAAAAAGGACCATTAAGTTCTGCAGGTATCTATGCTGAAAAAATTTATTTAAATGTAATCATTGTATAATATTCACTTAAGGGTAAAATTACAGTGCTAGACTGTGGCCTGGGCATTCATTGGTGCTTCTGCCTCCCAGCAAAGCAGACAGTGTGAGTCTGCATGTCCGCTACATAGGGTTTGCGTGTCCCCTCGATGCACCAGGCTGCAGATGTCACTCTCACAAAGACGCATGACACGCTTATCTCCTGCTCCAGAGACATTGTTCCAGGTGAGACTGGCATAAACAACTAATTTCCGGCTCAGCTGCTGGATAGCAGAGCTGCCAAACTCAGTCCCCGATGTTCTCGCTGGAATTTAATGAGTGTTAAGAGCAACCAAAGTTGCTCTGAGGCACTCAAAATCCATCTGGTCACGGGCCAGCCAGCCCTCTCAACCCAGCACCAAAGGCACCAGGATCAGACGCCCGGTCGCAGAAAACCCGCACTGCAAACCAGGTTGTCAGCAGCTTCCTTTTTTATCTTTTACACTCCTTGACCACTTGGTCACTAGGTTTCCTTATTTTCTTAAGGCCCCAACCTCATAGAGGTAAGGAAGGTTACTGACTGATAGTCAAAACTTAAAAGTGCTGGGATAGGATCCTGCCCCGACTTCCCGCCCCAGATGAAATTTCACAAGTGGAGTTACTTGGTCCTGGACTCAGGGCAAAAGAGCAAATAATAGAGGCTTTCAAAAGCCCGCGTCAAAATTCACTTAGAAAATTTCCACGCAGAGGGTAAGTTCTCATCTTCCTTTGAAACCTAATGTATGCTTTAAGAGGTGTACGTGTGTTGATTTACTCCTCTTGAAGCACCTGTGTATATAATCAGGCCAAAATTAAATGAGGCCTCCCTGACACTGATCCTTGTTGAAGGCCACCTTCTCGAAACTCGCTCCTCTCTTGGCCGCCATGCCTCTTCCTTCTCCGACCACCAGGCTCTAGCGGTGGGGGGCCCCTGCAGCCCCAGACCCCGGGTGCCTTCCACTCTGAGCTGCCTTTGCCACGCAGGCCCACCAGAGGGCGCTCTGTCCCTGCCGAAGCTCCCTCTCTGCTCCAGACATGGCCCATCCCCA